GGTCCTAGGTAGAAGCAAGAAGAATGCAGTCACAACTGGAACTGTCTCTAAAAAAACAGGCTGCCTCAGTGAACATACTTAAAATAAAAATAGATGGTGGTATATTGAAAATGCTGAAGAAACAATAAAGAAAAGCAGAAACCAATGTCCTCTAAGTCCCATGTAACTCCGTAATCCACCAAAGTGCTAAAGGATATGTAAATATGGATATGTTATTTTTCCCAATACCCAGAAATTTGTAGTATATAGGGAAACCAAAGATATACAAATCTATATGCAACTATAATACAATGTTTAAAACACACAAGACAGATTACAATGCAATGTTACCGAAATTTTAGAAAAGCTCCTTCTACCTATCCAGAGGCTTCGGAGGAAATCTGAATGTGGTGTTTAAGCTCAGCTTTGAAGGTTGAAGCTAGACATGAAAATAGCAGGAGGTTAGAGCATTTTAAGGTGAAAGAACAGCAAGACCAAAGGTGTGGTGTCAGGAAATAGAATGAAGATAAATGAGGCACAGGGGACAGTTCAATTTGACTCGAGGATGGTGGCAGTGGGAGACGAGCCTGGAAAAACTTTTTGGAATTACAGAGGTTGAAATGTTGGTCCTTAGACCTAGGTAATTGGAGTCACAAAGTGCTATTAACAAATAGGAAAAGGAGGTGTATTTCAGTAAGAGTATCTCGTGGTACGTACAGAATTAACTGGTACAGTGAGAGACTAGAAATGAGGAGACCCGCTAAGAGACTAGGACATGACTCTAGGTAGTATGTCAAATGTGCCTGAACTCTGTGGCAGCATCAGAAAAGAGGAAACTGGTGAAAGAAGCATTTTGGATGTCAGGTCTTAGCACCTGACTGTAAGACGTAAGGCTGGGGGTGTTGAGGGTCTCAAAAGCTTCTAGAAGAGAATGTTAATACCAATGAAAGCAACAGGGGCTTTCATTGGAAAGGAAAGACAGCGTTCAGAAGAGTCCACAGGGTGTTAGCCGTGTCAGAAGCACAGAAGAGGTAAGCCGTCCAGCAGGTACTTGGAAAGGGCTGCCCGGAGCTATGTGAAAGTCAGGGCTGAAGATAATGACTTGGGCGTTACTCCTACTGAGGTCAAAACACAGGCCAAGAGAGGATGAGCTTTGCCAATGGATCAAATACAGATAAGGGAAGAACTCAAACGGAAATTGAGGAACACATACTTGAGTGAGCAGGAGATGAAAGGAAAGCCGAAGAAGAAGCCACCAATGAGCAGTCAGAGAAGTAAGAGGGGCACAAAGAGCACGCAGAAGAGAAGAGTTTAAGAAGCAGCAGGTGCCAACGTTACCAGAGGCTGTTGACAGTGTGAAGCGAATGAAGATTTGGACCCTCAGAGGCCAATTATAACCTGATTCTGAAATATTAATACTTAATATACTTTAGGGGGAAGGACTCACTCCTTTAAATCAAAGTAGTTTCACAGGAGATTACTCTTTTTATCCTTTGAAGAAAAAACAAAAGAATTTCTTATTGGAAGGTACACACATTTCAAGGATAATCTCCTTAAACATTCTCAATTTGATCTTATTGGCCAATAGTTTTCAATCCCATCTAGTACTATTCTTCCAAAAGGTATTTCGGGGGACATTTTCAGTAATTATGAGTGAGGGGACTCTATCAGCATACGGAGGACAAGGGCCATACACACTAAATGTCCTGCAATAGAAGAGGCATTGCTAATCCATGTAGAGGAGCCCTGCCCAAAATGCCAATAGTGTCACCTGTTTAGAAACACTGTCACATAATGCTGTTTATCACTGAATGCACCTTTTGTATATTTGAGAAAAACTGATAGAACTTCAGATTCTGAAAATTTGGAGAATCGGTTTCAAAAACAGGCAAATATCATTAATACAGTTCATCCCTTAGAAACTTTTCAAGCAAATACATGCCTTTTAGTTTTACTGTTTATTCATATCTAATCTAGTTCCAAAAGAAATAGGTCTTCAAGTAAATTATTTAGTAGGGCAGCTTCTTATAATCTATAACTCTTTTACGTATTAGCTCTAATTAGAATCTGTTTAGCGGTGTGCATGATTAATAAGAATACATTTCATTGTGTTATTAGGTGAGAAAACAGCCAATGTTTAATTTAACTGCTTTTTAAAAATACCAACATTTTGTACAGATCTTTATTTAGTTAAACAAATATTTCTCTGTGTTACCACCCATACTAGATATATTCCATTGAAAGTTTCTGTTTTAATGCCAAATATTACCAAACAGTAATCACCAGTTCAGATATCTGAACCACACAGTATGTCATTATTTTGTGGGGCTATCCTAAGTGTACAAAATTTTTAACAACAGTATCTTTACACCAGCATTTTGTAGTTGTCACCCAAATGCCCTGTAAAATTTTCAAGAACTTATTTGGGATTTCAATAAAGATTAATAAAAACTACTGGATCTTCCAAGTAGGTAGATTAGGACCCTGCATTCACCATTTAAGGGACCAACTGAGAAAACGAAGCTTGCTCCGTCAGTTAAAAAAAACATTCTATTACACACTGAGACTTAGTGTGCAGTCGTTTCCCAACACATTTCCTGCACACTTTGATCCAAATAGTTGAGAAAGCCTCGAACAAACAAGGATGACCTCTCAGACAATGAGAGTCCATTCAGTGGCTTATTATGCAATCCAGCACTATCATGCCATCTATTGAGAAACTTGGCTCTTCAAAAGGTTCCCAAAAATCTGTTAAAACAAGCCAGTGAACCTTATAACAACCTAGTAGCCTTAATGCCAAACATTTAATACCTGACACTAGCTACCATGAATTATTTCTATGCATGTGCTTACACAGAATAAATAATGCGGGACAAGGCAAACGACTCTTCAAAAGATCCTCAACTATCCTGTCCCCCAGGCAAAGTCCGTGAGGGATTCCCTGCCAGATTTAGAGTTGTAGGCAGGAAAGGAGGCTCACTCTTCCCTTGTTTGTTTCTCCTCCTGTCCCTCCGCGCTTCATTTTTTCTATAAGCAGCTGTTCAGGACTATCACCTGCCAGGCACTGCACTGAGAAGAGAGGACACGACAGACAAAGTCCCTGCCCTCGTTCAGCTTCGTGCAGCATAAGCCGTACTACTCAGTGGTTAAAATCAGACAGCCTGCCTGGGTGCTTGCCCCAACTCAACCACTTGCTAGCTGTGCAAATTGAGCAAATTTCTTAACTCTCTGTACCTCAATTGCTCTTCTATAAATGTGGATATTGACAGACCTACCTCAGGATTGTTAAGGAGATAAAAGGAGTTAATAGACAGTGGTAGCACAGTGCCCAGAACATGGTAGCATTACAGAGATGTTGTTATAGTTACTATACTCTTGGGCTTCTCAGAGTGAGTGGATTAGTCTGTCCAAAGTGCAGAAAAAACTTGCTGCTCAGTCTCTCAAAAAAATGGAAATCAATTCATTAGCAAAGACCTTCTTCAGGGAAGGGATGTCCTGCCCTCATAACAAGAGAAAATCCTCCATTACCTGTTTATACTGGGTCACTCTCAATGGGCAAATGGATGGGGCTGAACACACAGGTTTCTGAGGCAAGGTACCCTTCTCAAATTTGCCTTTTAGCACACCTTAATTTCTTGAAATTGCTACATCCCTTTCAAATTATTTGAGATATATGCTTCTTCCACTGAGAGGAAACTGACTGATGGCAAAGAGGACAGGAGGAAGATTATCCTACATGACTAGACGTTGAGTTTTTGGAGAGCAGGATTCCAACCTCCTTCATCTTGGAAACCACAGTACAGTGTCTGGGGTGATCTTAGGGGTTCAGAAATAGCTAGTTTATTTATTAGGTATTTTCCGTATACTTTATTCCTCACCATAGCACTTCAGGGTGGATACCACAAATCCCATTTTATGAATAAGAAAAACTGACAATGAGATTGTTAAATAATTATCCAATTTTACAAAAGTGCGGAACTGAGCTTGAAATCTAGGTCTAACTCTAAAGTTAATTACCTTTTCCCATGTGAATGTCTCAAAAGCATGTTTGATAAATGAATACAGAATGAAAAGCAATTGCAGGAGACTTCTTTTACTTTAGATACATGAACCAGGAATATAACTCTGGATAAAGTATATTTCTTCAAGTCTCTTTGCCCTCTTTCCCTTCAGGAGGGCTCAAGGCCAAAGATATCAGCCAGATATTATAGAAGAGTAAATGCATGTCTAGAAATAAACTGAGCATTTAAAGGAAGGTGAACTAACTAGGACACTGGGGAAAACGTGTTAAAATTTCAGATCGCTTACCATTATTAAAACAGTCCGGGCGGGGGTGGGGGGAGCAGTACTTAATTGCAAACTGTTGCTATGAATTTTGCGAAAACTAATTTCTGACTTTATGAATTGTTATGCAACACACTGAGTTGCTTACGGTAATCCTTCCCTTTTACTGAGATCATTCAGGCCAGCTGACTTAGACTGCTTCAAATGCACTGTGGTCAGAGGCAGAAAGTGGAGCTAGGATTGCCTCACCAGGGCCAAATAAGGGTCACCTTGTTCAACCCTCATCATTCTCCGCAGCCACCACCCAGCTCTGATTTTTCAGCCACGCTCCCCCAAATGCACACGTAGTTCTTGAGGTTTCAATGACACAGCACATTCAAGCCGACGTGTCTGTTGAAAGTTTGCAGCCCTCCCGAGTTCCCAGTTTGGATTTAGTCATAAAGCATGAGGTGCCAGTAAACGGCGCCTAGTGCCCACTGTTTCCAGGCTTTTTCACATCACCCTCACCACTGCCCGTGGTTTTATTCCTCTGCTGCGTCCCTTAACAGACCCAAGAAAGGAGGACACGAAATATTAGCTTTCGTACTACTACCCCACTCAGTACTATTTCAGGAAGGAGAGGCAGAGGGAAACCGCACATTTCCTCTCCCGTGTGTGTGTGTGTGTGTGTGTGTGTGTGTGTGTAATTTTAACATCCCTGACGTAGACCACAAAATTCCCTCCCCAGCCCTGCCAAGGCAGTCTGCAATCCCGTTTCGCGGAAGTAAGGGAGAAAATGGGGGTGGAGGGAGCAGCTGCCAAGCAGCATCCGCCCGAAAGAGGAACCTCGCCAGCCTCCCGTGCTACCTGGCCGGGCCTGGCAACCCCAGCGCGGCGCAGCAGCTCACGCAGGAAACCCAGCGTGAGCCCGGGAGGCGCAGGCCCTCCTCTGCCCTCGTCAAGTCACACTCCTTTTCTGCCCCCGGCTGGCCTCGCCCCCGCCACGCTACCTGTGGACCGAAAAAGAACAAAACTCGAACCCCCTATTGCGTCCTCTCCTTCCAGCCTCTCCGAGCCCCCACCATCTGCTAAAAGAGAAGATGCTCCGTACACACACTCTCACCAACCCCCCATCCCCAGTTCCTGCGGCCGAGGCCACCCCGGGGTGCTGGCGGGCCAGGGGCGGGGTGCTGCTGAGAAGCGCAAGCGGCACACGCCAGGCGGGAACCTGCCGGAGGGACTCGTGAGGTAAGGATGGGGGGAGCACCGCGCCGGCAGAGCCTCTACGCAGAAGCTCGGAGCTTTGGCGTCGCCTGGCCGGAAGCACGCGGGCGCACGGAGCGCTCTCCGCCCCGGACCCCTCGGGCCCCCCTCTCCGACGCGCGCGCGCGCCCCGGGGCTGCACCCGGCTGAGGTCCGCGCTCCTGTGACGCGAACTCTCCTCCGGTAGCCGCCTGGGAGAATTTTGTCTATATAAGGGCTCGCCGGCTAACGGCTTTGGCGTGCGTGTCACACGTTGGCCATTATTTACACACACGCGTGCGGTTCCCCGGGCAGCTCGAGTGACGGATGAGCGCTCGCCTTCCTCTCCGCTGGCGCCCAGTCCTCTGCTCCTTTCCTCCCGGGGTGTAACTTACTTTACCTGGTCTCCGGCACAGGGTGGGCGCTGCAGCGATCCGTCCCCCGCCGGCCGCCGCCGGTTCGCCTCGCTGTCACCGGGTGAATGGAATTATTTATTTATTTATGTCCCCGGACGAGTCCTCGTCCGCCTCAGCCGGAGGAGGTGGAAGAGGAGGAGGTGGAGGCGGCGGGGAGGGCAGGCGAGGCGGCTGAGCTCCCTTGTGGATGCCCGGGAGCGCGCGCCGCGCCGCGGGGGGAGGCGGAGGGCGGGGGGACGGGGGAGGGGGGTGCGGGGAGGAGGAGGGTGGCCGCGAGCTCCCGCGGCTCCGCCCGAGTCCGGGGGCCGCGAGTGGGGGCCGGCCGCCGCCCAGTGACTCCAGGCGGACTGAGCATGCTCCAGGCCACTGTCAACGCTGTAGACGCTCTCTCTGTGGCTCGGGGCGCTCCACTTCGGATTTTAGTTTTGACCCTGAGAGAAAGACACAAGTCTGGTAGAACTGTTGCTCCAGATCAGTTGGAACACGCTTTACCCGAAGTACTTTGGCACCTAACCTAGGAGCCAGGTGTGTGGTAGCTCTGTTTAGTTACCGCAGGGAGTGGTGCAACCTAGGGGTGAGGAAAGCCATGCAAAAGGCGAGGAACCTGGCCGAAGGCAGGGAGAAGAGAAGAGTCTCATTTGAGCTTGCAGGCAAAGTGCTGGGCCTTTTTTCACTGGAGGTCTTTGGAGGGGGGCGCCCAGGGCAGGGAGGCGGGAGGGGCGACTTCAGTGTTGGAGATTAGGCTTGCCAACCAAATCCCTCACACTAAAGGAAAAATAAAATTTACGCCCCGGGGGTGGAGGCGTAGCGCAAGAACTTGAAAATAGGAAAGAAGGTCACTTATAAATGAATCAGTTTTAGTTTCTCAAATTATTTAATTCTTCAAAATAGGATTTAGTTATTTGACAATACATAGTGCTAGGGATAATGGTAATACCAGTCTTGGTTTGGTTTCTTCTACCTTTACATTTCCCCGCTGTCTAGAACATGTTTTGGGGGAAGTTGGAAAGAAGAAGGGCTGGAAATGAACATTTACCTTGGTTCCTCTAATGTTTTTAAAGTTGAAGTACTACTTAGAGGAAAAGAAACAATCCAGGAGAAAAAAGGGGGGGCTTAGACTTGAGAATTCATATTCCAGCTTTTCTGTCCATTTAACTGACCCACCCCCCTTTCCTGCTCCAAAAAAGTGAAAAAGATAAGATGTTGCATTAACCTTAGATAAAAATATAACTTCTTAGAAGCTTTTCTTGTTTGTTCTAGAAATTAAATCATTTCTAAAAAGCCAAGGTAATTTAGTTGAAATAAGTGGAATTTTGAAGTCCAAGGGACAAAGAATCAAAATGGCAATATGGTAGTAATAATCATTATAATTACTTATTTATCAAGTGCTTATCATTGTCAGGCACTTTCTAAGTACTTATATGGATTTTCTCAATTAATACAGTAGCCGTATGAGATTTGTTGACTGGAAAAAATGCACAACATGAGAGCTGTGAGCTGTTTTATTTGGGGCAAAATGAAGTCTATAGCCCAGGAAACAGCGTTTCAGAAAGCTCGGAGAAAGCGCTCTGAAGAGGCGGGGGGAAGGTCAGCATATATGTGATTTTGGTGAAGGCGGGGTACATGCAATCAAGCACACATTTTTGCAGAAGGTTTCTGCTAGTCGTGAGGAGCAGACGTCACCATAAAAGACTTTAGTGCTTTTCTAGATACGAGGAGATGCAAAAATCAGGCTCATAAAACCTTCTCCTGAAAATATCTATCTGAAGGTCTGTTCTGCCAGTTTTTCCCAGAGCACAGAGTGCCTCATTCCTGATCTCCACCCTGAACTCCTTTCAGGGGGTGTTGAAGGTCAGCAGCTGCAGCAAGCAGCTCACGATTCAATCTTGTAGAGGTAGGTGGCAAGCGACCATTTGTAGCTGGTAGATTATTCACATTTTACAAATTTGGAAACAAATTAGGTATTTGGCTGAATTCACATTGCCTTACTTCTGCCACAGCTAGTCTGTAGGCTTGAATTTTAGTTTCTGCAGTTACAAAATAGTAATAATATCAACTTTTTATTGCTGTCAGAAGATCTAGGTGAAATGATATATGTGAAGTTGATGGTAGATAATATGAGATGAATAAATGGTGGCCATTATTAGTAACATCAGAAAGTTTGGAAGACGCTATTACAGAGAAAGGGGTAGTTTGGAAACTAAGGAACGAAGACAGAAACTCCAGGAAGAACTTTAGACTTCTTTTAAGGAAGAAATCTGTAAATTGACACTTGTATAAGATATAATAGACTTTTGATAATGATGGAATGTCTAGCAGTGACTATAAATGCTTCATTTTCATTACAAAAAAGAATGTTAAATTTTAAAAAGAAACAACATTAAGATACACACTTCAAAGTCATGTTCTTGAGTGTTCGCTACTGACATTTTTCTCATTCATACATCATTTTTATTTTACTTCAAAGAAGAGAAAGAAGGAGAAAGACCATATATTTCCTGAATTTTGACCCTACTCTCCCTTTTCCTTCTCTTTGATTTTTCTTTTTTGTCCTATATTTCTTTTTCGTCCTGTATTTTTCACAACCTCATATTCTTGGCCTATTTAACCTATTTACAAACTCCTAAACATCACTACCCATAGTATTATATCAAGAACTGTAGCAAGTTGTCTTTTTAAGTCTTGTTTTTCCAACAATTAAAACTCTGGATCTAATTTATCTACTGCCCCAGTATTAGTATTTGGGTGTTCATTTCTAAATTGCCTTGTTGCTATGGCTAGGCATGCTATGTAAATATTTGCTTGGCTTAGAAAGGAATCTGAAAAGAGAATTAGGTGGGAATAAATCCAGTCAATTTCTCCTATGACTTGCAGTCTTAATATTCTTCAGAAATTGAGGGAAAAAATACAATTTAGGGGAAAAGCAAATCATATGATCAGAACTTGAAATTTTTATGGTAAAATTTCTGCCTTGATTTCTACTCATAGATGAAATAACAATGGGAGAAACAAAAGATAGCAATATACTAAATATTCCAGCAACTCTTGTTCCATAAATAAGTGAACTAGTGAATATATACATAACATACAAATTAGTAAATCCCAAACTTATATTACACACCCACAGCCTCATTTCCAGTTTCTCTGTCCCTTCATTCCTCAGCCATGCCATGTCTTTTCTCATTCCCCACCCTCTTTTCTGTATTAAACGTGTCCTTCAAGGCCCAGCATAAATGTCATCACCTCTGTAGCATTTCAAGGATTCCTTCAATAAGAATTAATTCCCATGTTCCTATAGTACATGGTGTATGTCTGTATTTGGGGGATTTTCTTCTGCTTCACAGTATGGCAATATTGTAATTTTTTTTGTCTCCCCTATCTTTTAGGCTGTTGGAGCGTAGCGATGACGTTTTACTCCTCCCTGTAGTCTTCCAGCATCCAGCACAAATTCCTGTAGATAGAAAATAATCAATAATGTTTGCCCAAGGGAGGAAAGAGATGACAGTGTGAGTTTTTTGCAACAGATATGTAGTAGAGGCTGCTGGCACTAATAGTATCCATGATCTGCATGTCACTACATTTCCTGGCTTCTCTTACAGTTATATTGGGGCCATGTGACAATTCTAACTAATAGAGTATGAATGAAAGCAACTTACGTTATTTCTGGCTGAAGGGCGTTAAGAACCAGTAATTCTCCTTTATCCCTGCCTTTCCCTGCTCTAATAGCCTCATGTTTCATATGGAGTCACTATAACATGGAGTCACTAAAAGATAAAGAAAGGCTGCTTGTCTTGCACTGGACTCTGTGTGAGCAAGAAACTGTTATTGTGTTTAGCCACTGAGATTTCAGAATTTTTTGTCATGAGAACATAGCCTAGCCTATTCTGACCAATACAAGATGTTATTTAATAAGATTATAAATCATAATGGCATAACAACCCAATGAAACATTGAGCTTACGAGAATGCTCTAATGTGTTCTTAAGTCAAGGCTAAAAATACATATCCTCACAACCCGAACTTAACATATAACAGCCTTTTCTTGGCAAGACTCTGTGAGACCAAAGCAGGGGTATGTGTGTGTGTGTGTGTTAACTACACACAATAGATTGGTTTTAACTAAGGACAAAAGACCAAATGTCCCAGTATTCCCCTCAGCCTGAGTGAAAATGAACGTGCACCTGCCATCCAGCATCTAGTGGCAGATTGTAGCTGGCTAGAAGCTGTGAATATGATTGCTCTGACCTGGTTTCGTACAATATACAAAATATGAAAGACATCACTCCACTGCTTCTAGATTTATATCTTGAGTGCATCTGTATCAGCTACTTTGGAAATCTCTTCTATGGAAGCCTCCCATAGAATTGAGGAGAATGCAAACCTAGTCTCAGTTTTCAAAGAATAAAAAAAGGGAAAAACAATCATGTTGGACATGGTTGTATGGGGTGCCTTTCAATAACTGTACAAGAGCCCAGAGAGGTCTTTTGTCAAAAGAAATGACTCTTGAGGCTCCAAAAATCTCTCCGTGGATTCTGCATTTAAAGTCCTGTCCACTAGGATTTTTCTAATTTTACAATTTATTTAATGTTATCCATAAAGTAAGCTTAATGAATTCTAATTATAAACCTAATTATAGATGCCTTCATCTGAATATGTTAATTATTCTGAAAGCATATAAAATTAAAAACTTGGATTAAAAATTATTACAATAAACTTTCCTAGCAGGGTCTTGTAAATAATGGCTTATAAGCATTTAATATTTAATGACTTTTATCAAATGAATGAATGATGAATGAATATGGTACCAAGGAACCTAGGTTGCAGTGCCTTTTCCTGTACATGTGGTCTTAGGTGGGTCTATTAACTTTAGCTTCACTTTTTAGAACTCCCTGGTACTTTCAGGCACTTCAAGGGCACAAAGATTTACAGATATTATGCACACTGTTAACAAATGAAGAAAATATTTATGTATGTTGAGGGTTTTTTTTCTAATTAACCAAAAATAACTGTTTACTGTGAATATTTTGGAGAGTAGTTTTGATCAAGATGCATAAGAATGCGACCACAAAGTTACCTGCTTAACTTGTAACCAGGTGTAACTTGCCCTGTGCCTGAACTGTCCTTGAAGGGTTAGTCATTGTTTGCATTTACATAATGCCTCGTAGGTCACAAGATAGTTTCAGGCTAAAATACTCTCAGCTGCCAGCTTCTCAGTAAGCTAGATTTTCAACTGCCCTTACTTTGTTTTATTTGCCTAAAGTTAGAGCCATTTTGCCATTTTGTCTTCCATTCAGAGGCTCTTTTGCTGATTTGCATCTGCCAGGCATTGACTCAAACTGCTTATTTATTTTCTGCTGTTTCGCTGTATAATTCTAATTGATTTCTTAATGTTGGTTCATTTTTCTGGGAGTTTGTTGATTGTGATCTTGAATTATCACTTGTTATACATTTTTTTCCCAACAAATAATCTGTATAACATTTGTTATATGAAATGTGATGTAGGTTTCAAATCCAGCCCTGTGGTTTGTGCTGGAGCCTAGCAATGTAGGTGGTCACCTGAAGTTTATTGATTCTGTATTTTTTTTTCCTTGATTCACCAGAATTTCATTTCTCAATGCATGTCCTGAGTCACGGAATTCAATCTTCATGAGTTTTATTCATTAGACGTATTTATTAAGCAACTATTACACGATAGTCAGTGTGATAAGCTTTTGGGATGTAAGTAGTGGTTCTCTCAAGCAGACTATACACTATTTCTTTAATTTTCGTACTTATTATGATACTAATAATTTTTTTCAATCTGAACTGGAATTTCAGTCTGAACTGGAATTGACTATACTAGTTACAGTATTGAGTTGAAGGGTTATCCAGAGATTCAGAAACATGTTTCAAAAAGACATGTAGAGTTTTTCCCTCGGAAGCCTTTATGAAGGAGAATGAGCTTTCTTCCATGATGCCAAAGACTTCAAACAACAACTGTGGATTTCTCTGTCAATATACCAGCTTTATTTTATTTTAGATAAACTTTATTGACATATAAGTTACATTAAAATGCATGCATTTTAAGTGTACAGTTTGGTGAATTCTGACAAATTATTATATCCATTTAATCACCACTCTAATCAAGATATAGAGCATTTCCATCATCCCAGAAAGTTCCCTCATGCCATTTTTATTCAGTCCTCCCTGAAGCCCGGGCAATGGCTAATCTGGTTTTTATCATCATAGACCAGTTGGTTTTCTGTACTCTAAAATGGTATGTGAATAGAATGACATCATATGTATTCTTTTTTATTTGGCTTCTTTTATTCTGCATATTTATCTTTAATTCATCCATGTAGGTGTGTGTATGCATCAGTAGTCCTTCCTCTCCTTGTTGGTTAGCATTCTGCTGTGTGGAAATGCCACAATTTTTTTTATCAATTCACATGTTGAGGATATTTGGATTTTTATTATTTAAATACCTCTATGAATATTTAAATAAAAATATTTCTGTGGACATGTGTTATCATATCAAGTTTGATTTTTAATACATAAAATTAAAAATGTGTTAAAAAAGCAATACAATGTCTGAAATTAGTATTTCAGGTGCTAGGCGTCTGAATAACTGGATATAGGCCTAGTTGGGCACTTTACTAATGCACTACTTTGGCAAAGACACAAATATGTTTAAAATTTACTTTCTTTGTAAGTAAAAAACTTGATTTGATTATTAAGAAGAGTCAACCAGATGATGTAATAAGTGGAATTGATTTCTAAATTGTAAAGCTTAACAAAAATGAAAGGTGGTATTATCATATACAAAATATGTACATATAAGGGCTTCCCTGGTGGCGCAGTGGTTGAGAGTCCGGCTGCCGATGCAGGGGACACGGGTTCGTGCCCCGGTCTGGGAAGATCCCACGTGCCGCGGAGCGGCTGGGCCCATGAGCTATGGCCGGTGAGCCTGTGCGCCCGGAGCCTGCGCGTCCAGAGCCTGTGCTCCGCAGCGGGAGAGGCCACAACAGTGAGAGGCCCGCGTACCGCAAAAAACAAACAAAAAAAAATTGCTAAACAACAAATGGACCTGCTTATAGTTTTCCTTAGAAAAGTCAGGTCTGATATAGAGAGAAAGAGGTAGGTGGTTTGTTGTTTGTTTCTTGGTTTTTTTTTTGTTTTGTCTTCTGCCTTTGAAAATTTAATTCCATGTGGTAGACACAGTTGTGTTTCTTAGACCCCAGATGCAGCCCAGATGCAGAGAACGGGGTTAGCAGGAAGCCTCCACATGTCATCAACTTCAAGTTCTGCCTTAGCTGCAGGAAGTCACATTGTCTGATGTCACCTCCTGTTTTGGATAGCCTGCATCTGGTGACCAAGGATGGCAGATGTATTAAAACCCAGTCATTCTGATTTCCTCTGCTGCCCAGTCATGCTAATTCCCCTTTCCCTTCTTACGTGTTGACTGCTAATAAATATGTTGCACCTTAAACTTCTCAGAGTCTGCTTTTAGGTAATCCAACCTTTGAAAGTTGGTACCAGGAAGGGTCTGAGAAAGCAGGTGTAACTACAGACTTTTAGACCTGCATTATTCATCACCTGGCTGGAGGACCCCAACACAGACAGCTTATGGAACAATGTGGTGGTTCATTTATTAAAACTTTTCAGCAATGTTGGAAGGCATACCAATGGAAGCTCTGCACTAGTGAAAGTGAAGTATCATATTTAGGTGTATGGAGTAACTGGTATCTTAAGGATTACGGGACTATACCCCCAAAGCAGCCACAAGACTTAGCCAGTGGAGCTGGTATAGTACTTGTGTCACTGGATACTAAGAATGCTTAATCAAGGGGGTCAAAACTTAAAATTAGATAGGAAAGAGTTGATTAACTTGGCAGTGTTTCTCCTGATACGGGATTTAACACACTGGCAACTACCCCCAGGAGATGATGTGAACTCTCTACTAGAAAGCCTCCTAGAAAAACACAGAAAAAGCAGTAGCCCACAGGTCAGTGTGTTAGTCAGGTTCTCCAGAGAAGCAGTATGTGTCTCTCTCTATATATAGATGTAGATATGGATATAGACATAGATAGCTATAATTTTAAGAAATCTACTGATTTAAATGTTTGGCATTTAAAAAATACTTTCACAGCAACACCTAGACTGGCATTTGATCAAACAACTGGCTCCCATAGCCCAGTCAAGTTGACACACAGAATTAACCATCACGATGAGCAAAGCTGAAATGCCAGAATTTCCATGGCAGATGGTGAAGGAAATCATTAAAAGCTCAGGGAAGTGACTATGCAGGAATGTAGATGTTATATACTACCAAAAGACTCACCAATTATTATATTCTATAGGGAGACCCATAGAGCACAGTATTCAACAAGGCCATAAGGAATGTGCTGGTGCAAGGGGCACCAGCATCACTAGAATGTCCAGTGGTGGCTCTCCTCTGTAGTTTAGATAAGGCAGTTACAGAACTTGGCTCACTGATAACAATGGGGCTGATAAGGCCTCAAAACAATGTAATTCAGATAGCAGTGCTTAAGTACCAAAAATCAGCATACAAAGACTATTGCAATGGCTAATTAACTTGGTCTGGCATCCTAGGGGGGCTCATCCACAGAAAGCTATTCAGATGATTCATAGAACATGACATACAAAAGGGCATAATAGATGGACAGCTGACAAGGGCACTACTCATCTTGAGCCAGCAGAAGAAATCAAAGTTGGATCACTGGGTGGGGAGGCAGAGGGAAGTCACCCGACTAAAAAAAAAATCATAAGTCTTTGCCCTGTTTCCAGACCTGAGCCAGTTTTTAAAACTGGGACACTTTGACTACAGAGATGGCTGGTTCTTAGGAGAAACAACCCTGCAACAACATGACAATTGTATTTGAATGATTCCCCAGGTCTTTCCCCAAAGGAAAGCGGGAAAGGGGAAACCTAGATATTATGCAGACTGAAGGACAGAGTGAATGAGTGGACGTTGACAACTAAAAACCCAAAGTAACATCATGCCCCTTCCTAGAATTTGGACACGTGAGCTCCAGATAATAAATGGAGTATTGCCCAGATCCAGCGTATTGTGAGTTCAATAAGTTAATGGATTCATTCAGTGGTCATTTCTGATCCAAGATTTTAACATTGGACAGTTGGAGCAACTCCCACATTGGATCCTCGGTCTTTGAGGTAAAGAGAAGACTCTAATTGAATATCAGTTGTGGCTCCATGCCCAACTGCCATGAGAGGGGCTGTCGTTTGTCTCACTGACCTCCCACTTCTAAGAGATGCCTCAGGGGAGAGACCCAGCAGAATCCTGCTCGACTAGGAGCTGCTACTTGAACAAATATGGAGAAGTACATGCCAGTGGTACAAAGGGTGAACTGTGACAGATGTGAAGATTATACCACCCAGGTGCTCTTCAGAGACCGGCTTGCTGTGGGGATGCCATCACCAGACAGCCTCCCAGTGTCAGTTTCTTCAGAGTTGCCTCAGCTGCAGCAAACTGCTTCACCTGCACCTAAAGACTGATCAAGGCAGGGACGGGTGGAAAGGCCTGGCCATTTGGACCACTGGACATGTTAGGCAGCCTGAGGTTGGTGGATCTACCTGTTTACTGTCACATTTGGTTAAGGAAGGATCAATAGATGTCCATGGTAATCACCTGAGTTCTCTCTGGAGCTCCATCCTGAATTGGCCAAGTTTTTGTTGGGTCCATCACAACTGAATTTCTCGCTACCCAATCTTGCTTATCCCTTTTCCCCTTCTCTAATAAACACGTTACTCACTAAATGCAGTGGTGGCATTTACTTCTGGAGCACCTAACCTATGACATACCAGTTTATAAAGGCAAACTGGGCACAACCTTTTATTTCTGCCTCAGGATCCACATTCAAGACACAGAATTGTGTGAAATTCCTGCACATAAAGAATACACAGTCTCACCAAGCCAGCAATTGAAAAGTCAAGTTAATATGCAATTTCCCATCCCTTTCCTCTTTTGAAACTCTGGTCACCTCTTAATCCATATGCTATAATTTAAAATTGTTGTGAATTAAATCACTCACATAATTTTTTTTTTTACTTCTACTAGCATGCTCATCTTTCTAAGTGAATAATATTTGTTTTTAACTTTTTTTATTCAAGTTTAATGAAGTATAATTTACCTCCAGGAAAATTTACCCTTTTTAGGTAAATAGTCTTATGAATTTTGACAGACGTGTACAGTCCTGTAACTCACACCAGAATCAAGTCATCAGTCCACTTCTTGCATTCCCAGTCCCTGTCAACTACTGTTTTGGGTTTTGGTTTTGTACCTTTTAACTGTTTTTTTTTCTTTTTTTTTTTTTTTTTACTCACTCTGAAACTTTTCAACTCTTTGGTTATTCTGTATGTTTTCTAACTCTGTTAAAAGACTTCTTGTAACTTCTCACTTTTTGCATCCATTCTTCTCCCAAGAGAAGGATCATCTTTTTTTTTGCTGCACGCGGGCCTCTCACTGTTGGGGCCTCTCCCGTTGCGGAGCAACAGGCTCCGGACGCGCAGGCTCAGCAGCCATGTCTCACGGGCCCAGCCGCTCCGTGGCATGTGGGATCTCCCCGGACCGGGGGCACGAACCCGTGTCCCCTGCATCGGCAGGCGGACTCTCAACAAGTGCGCCACCAGGGAAGCCCTGGGGTTTTATCTTTTTCCTTCGTCTGAAACATATTCCTTTTCTGTCTCATTTTGTCTAGATTTCTATTTTTATTTTTATGTGGAGGGTTAGTTATGTTTCTTAACCTTGGAGAAGTGGCCCTCTGTAGGTGATCTCCTATGTGTCCCAGCACCGCACTCCCCTCTCGTCTCCCAAGGGCCAGGGACCAGCTGGCCCCAGGGTAGGCTCTGATCTGCGTTTGCGGACTCTGATCTGCGTTTGCGGACTTGTTCCACAGGCTACCGGTTGGTAGTATTCTTGCTTCTGGTGTCTGCCCCCTGGTGGGTGAGGCTGGTCTAAGATGCTGGGCCGGCTTCGTGGAGGGAGGGGCCAGTGGGTGGAACTGAGTCTTGGCCCTCTGATGGGCAGGGCCGTGCCTAGGGGCGTGTCCAGAGGCAGCTGTGGGCTTTTTAGTCTTTAGGCAGCCAGTCAGCTGCTGGTTTGGGCTGTGTTCCTGTCGGTTGGTTGTTTAGCATGAGGCAGCCCAGCACCGGAGCCTACAGGCTGTTGGGTGAGGATAGGTCTTGTTGCCAAAATAGCGACTTCCAGAAGACCTCAAGCTGATGAATATTCCCCCAGTACCTCCACCACCAGTGTCATTGTTCCCACAGTGAGCCACAGCCGCCGCCACCCTGCCTCCTCGGAGACCCTCCAAGACCAGCAGGTAGGTCCAGCCCAGGCTTCTGTGAAGTCGCTTCTTTTGCCCTGAGACCTTGTGTGTGCCCTCCAAGAGCAGAGTATCTGTTTCTCCCAGCTCTGGGGGGCTCCTGCACTCAAGCCCCACTGGCCTTCAAAGCCAAATGCTCTGGGGGCTCCTCCTCCCAATGCCAGAACCCCAGGCTGGGGAACCTGACATGGGGCTCAGAACGCTCACTCCTGCAGGAGAGCTTCTGCGATATAATTGTTCTCCAGTTTGTGGGTCGACCAGCTGGGTGGTATGGGATTTGATTATATCGTAAATACACCCCCTCCTACCGTCTCGTTGGGTTTCTTTATGCCTTTGGAGGTAGAATATCTTTCTTGGTAGGTTCCAGTCTTTTTTACTGGTGGTTGTTCAGCAGTTAGTTGTGATTTGGCTGTGCTCATGAGAGCAGGTGAGCTCAAGTTCCTTTTACTCATTTTATCTTGATAAAATTTGCAACATTTTCCCTTTCTTTTGACACTTTATCCCCTTTCACCATCATGCCCGGAATTTTAGGCTGATTCCAATTCAGTGTCAACAGGCCAAACCCTCAGGAAACGGCTCCCTTGCATTTTCTGGAACATCTTCTACTCACCTGAAGGGCATTTCTGCTGCTGCCTGACATGATGTGCTAATCCCGCTTCCATATTACCTAGCTCTGGGGCTTTGTCTTCTGCCTTTTCCAATCAGTCAAGCTAGCTCCTCCTTTCTCAGAGTTCATTGCTTTAAGGTTCTCAAAGATTCCCCACTTGAACTGAGTAATCACCTAGAGGCTCCAGGACTCATGAAATCAAATGAGTTTATGTTTCTATATCACCTACTTTCTTCCTATAAGTTTTAGATTTAAATGGCTTTCTGCTTCATTAAACAGCAAGTCCATTTAATAGGAAACATCCTTCCTACTAGAACTTGAACTGAAAAATTATGAAGGATAAAAAGTTTATTTTTATATAATAGGAACTAATCCTAATTCAAGACTTCATCAAGCTACACCTGGATGATTAAAATACTCTTCAAAATGATTGCCCTATCTCTAATGTTATTCCACCTTCAGCATTTCATCCTTTGCAAAGGCATCAGTATTATCTTTCTTCCTGTTAAAATCTTCCAATGAAAGTGAAGGATTAGAAAGAGAAGGTTAGAGAGAAACCACCTGTGCGACATTTTAAATGGTATGCAGATTCACTTAAAGCAATACCTCTGTTCCCCACCAAATGTAATACAAGAGCTTTTCTTTTGGGAAGCCCTTTCAAGGAAAAAATATAGACATACAATGTTTGCAATTCCATTATAGCAACAATTTGTAGTTCATATAATATTTTCCCAGCCAGCCAGAAATAAATATAATAGGAGAGTGTTACTTGGAGATTAGGGAAATCATATGTTCTTGTACCTTTCCATAGTCTGAGAAAAGAAGTTCAAGTATGCAATACTATTTGCCTTATTGAGTCATAACATCCTTCATTAAGTGTTTCCACATAAGAATCCAAGGAGGGCAATCTACAAAGTCTATAATTCAGGGCTGGATGAAAATAATTATCTGCTACTATTTCATAGAAAATATTTGGTTTTCTTGTTGCTATTAAGAACAACAAACAGCTCATAAACCCATTCATTCTCAGTCCCAACTGATTTAATTTGAACAATTATGCTTAATATTTCTTATTTTCGTTTTCTAAATTACAAATATAATTAGCCTTAATCTTGAGTTTTGATGTATTATTCCTTTTACAGATGGAAATGTTGCGATATTCTGGGTAAATTTTGAAACAAAACTGCCCCTTTGTCTTTCCTATCTGATATGATCTCATGAACATAATTTTTATATTTACAAGGATAAACTACTGGGTAATAGTTGACAGCTGTTCCTTACAATTTAAAACTTGAATGGATGACTAATCAACATACCTGAACGTAGAAATACTTGATTGCAATTATATTTTAAAACACTTCACCTGTGACTTAAAATAGTTACGGCCTCTTCTGTGCTTTTTACCAGCCAGATCTGTATGTAATCTCAAAAACAGAATCAATAATTCGACAAACATCTGCTGAGGGTTTATGTGCAATAAAAACGGAAACAATAGGTATTTCATGAGTGCTCACTATGTATCAGGAACTAGGTTGCAATGTTTATATTATCTATTTAATCTTCATAACAAACACAAGAGAAAGACTTTTTCTCCATTTTGCAAGCAAGGAGACGGAAACGTGAATTTTAGGACTGTGCTCAAGTCATACAGCAACTCAGTAACATCCACTCTACTCAAGTCTGTCTGATTCTAGGGTTTGTGCTGTACTATAGCCCAGCACGCTATAGTACTATGCTCTTTTAGGCCATAGGTACAAAGACGAATGAGAAGTGGTCCTTACCTCAGAGAATTTAGTATATAATCTAGTTAGAACATGTATATAAATAATTATAACTCAAGGTGGAAAGAAACGACCAACATAAGAGTCCAGGTTAAGCAGTATAGCAATTCAGGCTGGGAGTGGGAGGACGGTGGAGCAATTTCTGGTGGTTGAAAGAATCTAGGATGGCTTCTTGTGGGAGAGAAAAGTAGCAGAGCCCAGCACAGTAATTACAAGCATGAACTACTTGAATTCAAATCCAAGCTCTGCTACTTATTAGCTGCATGATCTTGGGTGTCTTGTAGGGGTTCGATTTCTTCATCTGCAAAATGTAGGTGATAACAATTGCTTTATGGGGTCAATTGTGAAAACTGGAAGAGCCAATATTTAGAAAGCAAGTAGAATCATGCCTGGCACATAATATTTGTCTATTTGTTTTAAAAAAATTTTTGAACAGGAACTTAAAAAACAGGAAGAAGATTTCCTTTTAACATGGAGAAAAATGAAATGAGGTAGGAATTAGCAATTTTTGTGAATTTAGAGCCTTCAAGTCACTATGGAAGTGATTTAAATTTTAAAGTAAAATTCTGTGACTCAGAGAGGTAATATTTGCATCTAAATTCATAGCACACATATGACAAAACTAGTTCAAATTCATAACATTTGGGTGATAAACAAAATCAACTCTGAAGTACCCTTTTCCTACCACTGCCTTTAAGCCTATTTCTTTCTTCATGTTCCTCTGGTCATTAGGTCCTGCCATTTGTAACTCCATAATCTCTCCTGAATCTACCTTCTCTTCTCATTTCCAACTGTCTCTGTCTTATTAAGGATTACCACTCCCTTTAATTATTCCCATAACACTCTCTCTTCCCCCCTACACACACTACCCTCCCCCTGTTTCATTTTCATTTTAAAGAATATATTTGAATCTTTCAGTTCACAGGCCATATATTCAACAGTCTCATGATACCAGTAGAACAAAATCCATGTTTAAAAAACAGAAGAACCTCTATGTCTAATCTCTCACAGAATGATCCTGGCTTTCTGAGGGGGAATCATTCC